ATTTAATAAGGCTTAATTACCATTACACTGAGATGTTTTGTCTTCATTGATAAGGTTTCAATTAAAGGACAATTATCTCGGGCGCAATTAGCTCGGTCATGATTAGTATAGAGCTATTCAACGTAACCCTCATTAGCACTATAGCCATTGTCGTTATATTAAGGGATAATTAGGATGCTTTTGCTTAACGTGCACATTATTAACGTTGCATTAATTAGTAAGATGTATTTAGCTCATCAATTAGCATGTTTTGATTAGCCCAGGTCTAGCCTTACATAGCTTCATTAGCATGGTCTTAAGATTTGGCGTAATTACCTCGGCCCAGGTGTGTAGCCATAAATTTTTTTCGAGTGGGGGGGGGGGGGGCACTGCCTTGATTTCGGGAGAGGCACCGTTTTGAAATAGTCATTTTCCGCTCTTTATGCCATGGCGAAAAAAATTGCCGTGGCGAAAAAAAAAAAAACAATGAGACGCAGCGCGCTGAGGGGTGGATTTGACGTTTTCTTACTGTTGGCCCATTCAAAAGGGGTGTCCTCCGAGCTCGGAAAGATCCTGAGTTTCGTGAAACTCGTGAGAAACTCAGCCGATCCTGCATGGCACACCTGTTCGTGATTTATTTCCAGTAGGATGCCCGGGAGCCGCTAGTGGTAAAAGCGGTGCTACTACTGCTTATCAGCTAGACATGTATATGCTATATACAGTAACTCTAGTATCAGCATGCCACAGCGCATACATGGGAGTTTCCGCCACCTGGTTTAATTCCTTAAATATGCTTTGACGACCATGCTTCAGGTATCGACACCTCAGACATGAGTCACTTGATATGCTGCATGCCTTGTGTTGAAACATGAAATCGCTTCTTAAAAAATAAAACTGAGTAACCGGGAACGCCTGAGGTTAGAGGAGTAGTAGTCTTGCTTAAACATGTGGCTGCTTAGGTAAATGTGCTTATTAAACCAGTTCAGGGCATTTACGCGGCCTCTGTTAATGAAACGCTTGTAAGTACATCTGCAACTTAGGCGAGGTTACGAAAATCAGAAGAAAAAATATTTAAGACACATGAAAGAAGACAGGACACGACGAGCGCTACTTAAAAATAAAGTTCATTTTCAGCAGCCATAAACTCGATCTAACGAAACCCGATTTTACAAAGTTCCAGATCGAACGAAGAAATTTCAATTCCCAAGCAAATACCCATATGGGGCTCAGTGTTATCATCAACACGAGTCGTTATGTGGGGTTTAACGTCCCAAAACCACCATATGATTATGAGAGACCGCGTAGTGCATGGAGGGCTCCGGAAATTTCGACCACCTGGGGTTCTTTAACGTGCACACCCAAATCTGAGCACACGGGCCTACAACATTTGCGCCTCCATCGTAAATGCAGCCGCCGCAGCCGGGATTGATTCGATCCCGCGACCTGTGGGTCAGCAGCCGAGTATCTTAGCCACTAGACCACCATGGTGGGGCATCATCAACCCGAATCAACGAACCAGTTTGGCCTCTTAACCATATTGGCAGCAACTATGGTGGCGGGGCTCGTCATCAACGCAGTATATATATATATATATATATATATATATATATATATATATATATAATATACATTCCATTGGTTCTAATAACTTCCCCTGTACATTCCTTGGCATTACTGTCTGTTAGATCTCATTAATATTGTGTTAAAACACGGAAAAACGAGCCCTTATATATATATATATATATATATATATATATATATATATATATATATATATATATATATAGATATACTATAGGTATACACTTCTGTCCCTCATTTCATTGAACGAGGGTCTCGTACTGGCAGACTTGGTGTGTTTAGGTTGTATAACAGGGACAATTAATCAGCTGCCCGCTCATAAGTTCACGTGCTACGTGACGCCAAACATGCGCATAAGAGTGTTTTCACACACGCCGTTTGGCTTATAGATGGCGCTGACTGTCACTCCTACTTCTAAATTCTCATATAAACCCCAAAAAGTGGATGGAGGGAAGGCCGCTGTGGTAGCTCAGTGGTTAGAGCATCGAACGCGTTATTCGAAGGTCGTAGGTTCGATTACTGCTCACGGCTGGTTATTTTTTCATCCACTTTTTTTTCTTATTTACATTCCATTGGTTCTAATAACTTCCCCTGTACATTCCTTGGCATTACTGTCTGTTAGATCTCATATATATATATATATATATATATATATATATATATATATATATATTCAGTATTGTTTGTTGGATTTTTCGGACTTCACAAATGCACCGTCAAGCTTCCCATTGCACTAATGCATTTTCGCGAGACCGATTTTTCGGATGAATTTGTTTCAAAATTCGATTTTTCGGAATAATTGTCTGTTTTGAGCAATTCCTTCCTGCGTGTTTTGAGCTATGCTGCTTGATTTTGAAAGCCGCCATGTTGGATTTTTTTTTGTTGGCTTGGTCGCGTTTGGTTTGCAGAGGCTAGTGGTGTCGCCTTCAAGATTGGAAGCGCGCACAATCTTGCAGTTTCAGGGGCATGTCTGATCTTTCTTGGCTAGCGAAACGGCAGAACTTTTCTTTTTCAGTCTGCTTTATCATCATTAATACGCTGGTAGGTTGTTTTTATGTTCTGGGCGCTTGTTTTTCTGCTAGTCATTGTGCACGTGGTCGTGTTACTGGTGTGTCTATGTGTTTGAGCTGTCGCGTGCGTCACATGCTTGCTGCTGTTCGCGATTGCTCAGTATAGTACTCCATAGAGAAATATACTATATAAAAAGTGGCCACTGGAGCCTTTCTGTGGTCCAGCATAAAAGGGTCTGACCAACCGCTAAATAACCTACCCATGCTCGCTTTTACTCCTTTAAGACATGTAATGTCCGCGTCTGGAGGAGAATGAATACCCAAGTTTCGCATCTATTTTTTGCAAAGAAGAAATTTTATTGATTTGTGCAATTTTCCATATCCGCTCTACATGTCCCGCAGATGACTTTAATGTCTTACAACTGAAAACAATAAATAAAGTCTGACCAGAAAGGGTTGTCTTTCTGCATTTGGTTTGCACAAAGAGGCACATTTATATGGTTTAGATGTGCTATACATGTAATCCCATTGTGGAAGCATGAGTGTGTAGCCTAGTGGTAAAGACACTCGCTTACGGAGGATGAGGTTGCGGGGTCAAATCCAAGCGTCTGAGAGAAAAAAGTTCTGTTATTTTATTTATGCTGAAGACATTATCGGGTCTGACCAACCACTCGTGGCACTGAAAGCAGCGCAGTAGCTGGGCCCTACGGGAGTGTCTGCTCTTTATATATGTTTGTCTATGAGTACTCTGTGGTAACGGTGCTCGGCTACTGACCTGGAACACGTGGGTTCGTTGCAGCCACGACGAGAGCGTTTTCATGGGGGCGAAATGCTGGAGGCTCACGTACTGTGTTGGTGTCGGTGCAGGCAAAAGAAGCACAGACTATGTTGTTCAATCCCACTAAACTGGCGGGACGTTGCTTGCATTTTTTTGCGACCGGCATCAAGTTTTGTTTGCTTGGCTCCGTGGAGCCACCAACTTTGCCGCCCGCAACGGTCGGCGGCTAGCCAACGATGTTACCGTAGCCCAAATGGAACCAAATTTGCTCATCCCCAAGAACAGCATAAATCCTGGCATTATTGGGGATTTATTAAAATGCGAAGCAGCTCTTTGACTAGCCTGTGTAACGCTGTCCCTCCGTACCAACGTGCTGCGCGCCGCGGGTGTTGGCGCGGTGCCAAGTAGGTCACACCGCTGCTGCACGGTGACGTCACGCTTCCCTCGTAGTACTCGCTGACGTCACTCACTTCCTCGCCTGCAGCGCGCTCGCCGATGCGCCCGCAGCTGCCGACTCGTCGATTCAAGCGCAATAAACCTGACGCGCGCCTAACGTACGCGTTAAAACATGTCTGTACTTGTCACCTACAAGATCTATGCCAGCCATCGCTTCAAACGAATCTTCCAGCGCACACTGCAGCACCCGCGTTAGCGCCGTTCAACCTGTGGCGCCTACCGTGCGCAACGCTACCGCTTTGCATCCCATCACGGTTATGTTGAGGAAGATGGTCGATGATTTTAGGTTTTTCTAATAGAAATAAACTTCATTGTCGAGGCTTGACCATTTTGGGACTATTTTGCGGTCCCCGTCAAATCCAAAAATAGGTCGGTGACTATATATATATATATATATATATATATATATATATATATATATATATATATATATATATATTATATATATATATATATATATATATATATATATATCACAGAAAGTTTAAAGGGGAGGTCTCAACACACTGTTGTAACTTGTTTAGACGCACATGGCACTAGATTAAAGGTAGCGAGTAACTTTGTAGGGAGCATATGCAGTCACTCTTCACGGCACTACACCGCACTGACGCGCATGACGCGGCGCGTAGCTAGGGTGACTAACTTATCCTTCGAAATTTTCCGCTGTTGCACTGTTTGTGAAATTAGCCAATACCTGTCACTCCTGCTTTCTGCGTAGTTTTGACGACATTGCGAGGGAAAGAACAAAGGATTTTTGGCGGTTTTTATCATAGGGGTTTAGATACTCTGTTGCATGTAGTGTAGTAACTGTTTCACATGTTCACAAGAGTCCCGAGTACAGATCGGCAACATTTTTCAACATTGCGAAAAGTGCTCTATATGGCCGTTCAGTTGTTCTGATTCTCTGTTATGTGCTTGGCTCGACCATGCAAGAATTTGGGTGCACGTTAAAGAACCCCAGGTGGTCTAAATTTCCGGAGCCCTCCACTACGGCGTCTCTCATAATCATATAGTGGTTTCGGGACGTTAAACCCCACATATCAATCAATCAATCGACCATGCAAGACGTAAATATTTTGAAAAGATGAAAGTAATAGCTTAGTATCCTACGATTAACCTAAGAGAATCTGATGCTATATACACAAACAAAAAAATATGTTCGGTTACTGACTGTCGGTATTTTTTCTCGTGACCAGGCTCAACCAGACAAGACGATTACCCACAAGGTGACGTTTGACATCGCCATCGGTGATAAAGACGCTGGTAGCGTTGTACTCGGCCTTTACGGGAAAGTGGCTCCAAGGACTGTGCGCAATTTCGTCGCTTTCGCCGGAGAAGGCTACGAGGGCTTGAAGTACGAGGGCATTGGCTTCCACAGGGTCATCAAGGACTTCATGATTCAGGGTATGTTCGTGCACGCCAAAATGCATTATCTTTCCTCAAATACGAGACCTCAGTTGCTGTCTCCACGAGCCTCTCTGCAAAAGCGTGGGTTAAGTGCTTCTTGACGTTAAAGAATAGGCAGTGAATGGTGAAGAAATTAATGTGGCCAGAGGATAAGGGATCGCACAGTATACTCTGCATGTCTCGTATGTTCACGAATCGGACGTTAGCGTTTTAAACGAAACCTCTAGGCCGGATTTGTTCTTTCTAGAAAATATCATTTTGTGTTGTGAGTCGCAGACATGTACGGAACGGCTGACGCCACTGGCTGTGGTTACTCTGTGCTGTAGGCGGTGACGTGCAGAAGCAGGAAGGTCGTGGCTCTATCAGCATCTACGGCCGCTACTTCGACGATGAAACTTTCGCCCTGAAGCATGAGGGACCTGGCACGCTCAGCATGGCCAACGCTGGTAAGCATATACCCCATAAGAGTGTGCAGGGTTCTTCTTTAAGGGAATGAATTAAAGCTCATCGCAGCCTCCCCCCCTCTATTAAATCAATGTATGTGACATACTTTGTACCCTCCCCTTCTTATGTAACTAGGAGAGCCCCCCCCCCCCTTCCCCTCCCCACTGCTCACCGTGCAACTTAAAGGTGACACCACTCCTACACAGCCGTCCAGTGACCGCGCCCTTGGTGCCTTTAAATGTTTGAAAATCTGGTCACTTCGCAACGGAGCTACTTAAATTAATACGCTGCATACGTGCCGGATAATAAAGACTAAGAAGAAGGACTTCAACAGCATAAAATTGCGCTTACGTTTGTTCGCAGTGCTTGCTTTTGGGAGATGCGCATTTAGGTGTATTCACACGGGACAATGTATGAAGTGTGCGGACTCGGTGACATCCGCCATTTCAATCAAAATGACCACAGTGAGATGAACAAGCACGTTGTCGTTCCTTCCCTTGCGGTTAGGATATTGCGCTGTGACTGGTCGGTAGGTTGGCTTTCAATGCGATTATCCCAAGAAACGGAGGATGCAATGTTTAGCAGTATATTAAATACCCTCTCGATGTTTGTGGTGACTTGAGTAGTCGCGTTGAGATAGTGCGCTAACAATAGTATACCAGGCTTGCCGGGATACTGGGCGCACCGTGATAGCGGGATGGAATTGCGCGTGCCAAGTACGTACGTATATACGTTACTTGTACCGCTTACCGTACGCGCGCTATTTTTCAGATTTAACGTTACCGTGGTAGCGTAGGTGTACGTATAGTGTACGTACAACATGGCGGCGCTCTCGGACGCCCGCTTTGCAAGAGATTTTTGCGTAGTTGTTGTAAAATTCACTTTGTTCGCAGCAAATGACTGTTTAAAGTGGCTTCGCTTCCCTTCAGTTAGCTTCGATTACAGAGTATTAGGGATAAATCTGCGTAGTTTTTGAAATAGTTTTCCATTTCGAACGCGTCTAGGCCTCTGGCCTAACTGTTGTAGGCCCGTATGTTCAAATTTGGGCGCACGTTGAAGAACCCAAGGTGGTCGAAATTTCCGGAGCCATCCACTACGGCGTCTCTCATAATAATATGGTGCTTTTGGGACTTTAAACTCCACATATCAATCAATCAAACATTAGGTTTTCAAAATTGGTGCGGAGCGACCCACTGCGGTGTGCCTCATAATAACATCGTTGCTTTGGCTCGCAAAACGCAAGCACTTCTGTTTGTTGTGGCCCCGCAACATGTGACAGTGACCACTCTGCTGTGTTTATCTTCTCCCGTGTGCAGGAAAGAACACGAACGGCGCGCAGTTCTTCATCACGACTGTAGCCACCTCGTGGCTGGATGGCCATCACGTGGTCTTTGGAAAGGTAATCGACGGCCTGGACGTGATTCGCAAGGTGGAGAACACGAAGACCGATCGTAACGACGTGCCTGTCGAACCGGTCATCATCAAGAGATCCTCGGTTGAGACCCTGGTATCCATCTGAGCCGTACAGGGCCCGCGTGCCATGCCATGCCGTCCGTCGCAGCCCGATTGGTAGCAGGCGCCTGCTGTCCATTTTCGGGCTTTAAGAACGACAAAAAAAAAAAAAAAACTGCGTTTCTTTCCGTGATCGCGGAACTTGTCACCGCGGCGACCAACTGGCTCGACACTTCGGCTTCTAGCTTTTTTTTTTTTAGACGCTTACGCAATTGAGAAGAGGAATTGCCCTATAGTGTGCTCACAAAGGAAACCAACGCAGCTGCCTGGTAATGCGACAGCCTTATTGACCTGCCTGTGTAGTGTGCGATAATAAGTTTTACCTTTCAGTTGGAAAAGTTGTCGATCAACTTTACGACCGCTCCGTTCCTTTTTTTTTTTTGTCTCTTCCGCATCGAAAATGTCATTGAAACTGTTACGTATATGTTGCAAGCAGCATTCCATTCGCCAGAGTGTGCTCGCATATATGTTATCGTGCAAGAACAGTCGCTGTCGATGGTTAGGTGTATTCGAATGAGTGTTCATGCCAGTCAATTTACGTGTTCGGTGGCGACGAGCTCGTCCTCAACTCACTGCCATCACAAGTTTGCCATATAAATGACATACGCCTATTTATTTCTCATAGAAATAAATATATTAGACATAATCAAAATACGCACAAGAAAGCCGAATGCACGTCATGGCAGCTAGTGTAGGTTTCGCGCGTTGTGCGGCGTGTGAAACATGGCCGCTGTGTCGTCTCTTGGCACAGGGTAAGTTTGCAGGGTAAAAAGGCGTCGTGTAGCGGCCTACACAACTGTAAGACTTCTCAGAGTGACATTTCGCGATGGTGCTCACTTTCTTTACTGGGTACTCTCTGGACCACTTTAAATGGTAAGCGTTGTTGGACCAGACAGTTTTTGGAAACTTTTGGATTGCTGGGATATAAATTTACGACGGTCATGTGCAATTTCAAGAGTCATTTCAGTGAACCTACGTCGTCATCCTTGTCCAGTAGAAATACTCACTTCGGTCATCTCGAACCAAGAAGTACTGGACCCGCAAGAGCTTCGAACAAGCCCAAACGTGTCAATGTTTATACTAGCCTCAACCTGCCAAATTTTTGTCGTATTTTATATCTGCTTATACAAACTTTCTATACAATGCTCTATTCTTTGTACTTTCAAAATAAATTGTTGCAAATCACGCGTGGCCTCGGCTACTTCTTTTTCTCCTATTGCGATCGCCATTGTGGTTTAACAGCTACAACATGGTAAGTTGTTCGTACTTTAATGGAATGGAATTTCAACAAGAGTAAACATTGCTTTACTGCACGATTTCTCAAAGTGGGCTCCGCGGAACCCAGGCGTTCTATGAAAGACATCTTAGGGTACCGCGAGCGGCCTGAACCAGTGAAACACGCTCCCGTGTTACTCCCATTATAAAATAATTTATGTAGACAAGCAAACTTGCGTACCATTTCGCATTTAGTGACACCATCGCACGCCGCAGCCGCACATCGGATGTCTGCGGATAACGAGAGGGCTCACGTGACAGCAGCACTAAAGACTCGTCGTTTGAGCACCATGAAATTTTCCACGATTTGCGGACCCGTGGCGACAGAACGCGCGGAGCGCTGGTCATTCATTCTCGTGTGCTTTCAAACCAGTTCAAACGACGATAAAGGGACAATAGGACGAGCGCTACACTTCGCGCATGGCGCGTCGGCGATCGCACGGTACAGTTTTCATACACGGTAATTTCCCACTGCTCTATGCCGGTTTTGTAATTAAAACGCGCAGGAAGTGCTTCGATACGCGTAAGACTCGTCGATTTGTGCTGGCTGTGGGCTACACTAGTGTTTAGGGTTAACTTTACGACAGCTGACGACTGGCGTGCTCCATTTTTGTTTCGGAAAAAAGTAACAGTACGTTCGGCGCTTCGCTCGTACACTGTGTTGTGCCCGAAGCGTGCTGTGGGCGGTCGCTTGGGGGAAATCGCAGCTCGATGTATAAATCTGGAGCTCTACATTAACGGCGCTGACCTTTCATTATAAAGTAAGAACAACAGGCCAACGCAGACACTGTTAATACTGTGGTGTCGTGCATCGAGAGACTATCACCTCTCTCCTTATTTCGTTTGTCGTCATGCTCAAGGAAAATGTAGGGGCTCCGCGGCTCTCTGGAAATGCCGTCGGAGTTCCGCGAAGTCGGAGAATTTGTGAACGCCTGCTCTAATAAAAAAATGTATACTTTAGAAGTAAGGAGCAGGGGACCCCATAGCCGGATAACTCGATCTGCCAGCGCAAAAAAAATACAAAAATGCAAAAGTGGGGAAAGAAGCGTCTTTAGCTACGCAAAGTGACTGATAGCAAGCTATTTATTTTGTAGAATCAGAACGATAAACCGAGTTTCCTGCTACAGCTCTTGGGCAAATGCGCACAGCTCACATACTGATTCGGCTTGGAGCGTTGCCGAAGCTTATAAAACGCTAAACCTTTTTGTCAGAGTAGGCTTGGCCTCAATAGGGCTCTTTCTGAGAAAAAGCTATAGCTTTCGTAAACAAAAACTGAGCGAACGCAACTGTGATATACAGGGCGTTCTTTTATACTTTTATAGCTCGCACGTTTTTGTTTTGTTTTCTTTGTAGTTGCACCTACGTATAAGCAAGCCAGATGTCGTTTTGCTTCTTTCATACACGCAGCGTCGCCGACCCGGCACCAGGTTTGTTCTGCAATCACCAAGAGACCTTCGTCAGTTTGTCAAACACTCAGATTTAGCTCAGCCCAAGGTTTGAGTACTTGTGCAGCAGCGCTCGGCCCTTGCCTTCCGTCATGAACCTGAATCACGTCTTTCCAATTTCGCTTCTGTGCGCTATCGGCTGCGTGGTCTAGCCCTCAAGCATACATGTTGTCAACGGCGCGAATCTTTTGCGCCCTTTGCCAACAAACTGGTGCTGGCAAAACAGTTAGAACGTCGAAAATGCACCGCGAAGGACAGACCTTATGCTTTGTGCGCACTAGCGAGGTGGGCCAACCACTGGTGTCGTGAAACGGTCGCTTCGTTGGTGGTCGTTTGTCAAGCCAGCCGCCGTGTGTAGACCACGCTTCTCGTTCTAAGAAGCGTAAATACCCTGCCGGGTAACAGAGCGGCCTGTTAGCCAGCTGTCTGCTGGCCGGGTGGGCGAACGACGTCAGCGAGAAAACATGAGTGGAACTGCTGTCATTTCATTGGATTGTTCATGTTCTCAAGACTGCCATGTGAACCACGGGGTTGCCAAGTACCTGCTTTTATCTCTATAGACTCCTAATCCTGTCGGAGAGTCACTAAGCCAACATAGCTTTTATTGATTAGGGGCCAAGTGCCTTAGGGCCGAGGCTTGTCCATCATCGTCCGCGGTGTCCGTCGCGAGAAGACACGAAATGTGAGACACACACACAAAAAAAAGGTTTAACAATAGGCTAATCTCAATCACAATTGAGACAGTAGAATATAAAACACATACAAGCACAAGCTCTTTATAATAGTCGAAGGCTTCAACAGAAACATCATGGACCTTAGGACCTGGCTTTGTCGTCGACTTTTTGTGTCCCTTTATGTCACTTCGGGAAACGTATGGTTACTCAGCCGTATACGATACTCAAAGCTTCGCGCACTCTTCATGATTCAACCCACAGGTCGCGGGATCAAATCTCGGCTGTGGCGGCGGCATTTTCGATGGAGGCGAGAACGTTCGAGATCTCGGTAGACAACCAGCTGTAGCTCCTAGATTTGGAAATTAGTGCTGGATTTGAGCACGTATATTTGATGTACAAGACATGTATTGGAAAAAAGTCATTCTGCCATATCATGATTTTCATCATACGAAACTTACAAAAAAAAAAAAGCATTGAAAAATCGCGCATGTTGCAGGCGACTGAAAAATTGTGCCAGCACAGAATGAAAGAAAGCGCGAATTTACAAATAGAGCGCCTGCAATATATATTGTTTTTCAAACGAGGTCTTGTTGGCAGTGGCGGAATGTTGCCTGAAGGAGATAAACAGCCCCACGGGAAGTGAGAGAAAAGCCCCGCCGCGTTGGTCTAGTGGCTAAGGTACTCGGCTGCTGACCCGCAGGGCGCGGGTTCGAATCCCGGCTGCGGCGGCTGCATTTCCGATGGAGGCGGAAATGTTGTAGGCCCGTGTGCTCAGATTTGGGTGCACGTTAAAGAACCCCAGGTGGTCTAAATTTCCGGAGCCCTCCAGTACGGCGTCTCTCATAATCATATAGTGGTTTTGGGACGTTAAACCCCACATATCAATCGAAGTGAGAGAAACGAAACAAGAATCTGGTGGTAGTGTTGCCGTACATGCACGTGATATAGCACATATATTAAATCAGTGGTTCCCAGCATAGGGTTGCACACGGGGAGTTGCCTCCCGAGTCACCCAAAAGGGGGGGGGGGGAGTGCAAAATTTGCCCTATACATTGACATAATAGGTAGTGTTGAGGCTGCTACGAATCTTCACCTATCCTGGAGGGGAGCCCTGCGCACGCTTGTGGTTGCCGGTATGACTGCAGCTGCAGGTATTTCCGGCGCCCTTATAATTGGTAGGGTTATGTCAAAACGACATCCTGCAGAGCGGTGAAAACAACGTCCTAGATGCAACATGCAACGACAGAAATGTGAAGAAATTTGCTGAGTGCAAGGTAGTAGCATTTTGTAGGATTCATTTGTCCTGCGGGACATCCTACATTGGAAAGACGGGAAGGTGCCTCAACAGAACGCTTCAGGAACACAAGAATTTGTGTAGTAGGATTGTAATCGAGGGTAATCTCGCTCAGCACTGCCGTGCTTGTAATTGTAATAAACTTCGCTAAAACTGCAGCTTGGGCGAGTTGGTTCATGATTATTTAGACACATTTATCAGTGCAAAAAAAAAAAAGACGGAACTTTTAGAGAAGAACCACACATATAGCGCTGTGTGTGTTTCTTCGCTAAATGTTCCGTCTTTTTTTTTGCGCTGATAAATCTGTCTTGTAATTGTAAACCGAATTTGAGTGACACTACTAAATGGGTGCACAACGGAGACAAAATGAGAACAACCGTCGAAGAGTGAAGTATGATGTCGGGGAAGTTTGGCGCGGGCGTGAGCTTCCCCTCAATAGCGCTAACAGACAGACCATGCGGCATTTCTAGCGAAACAAATATAAGTTTCATGACAACACATGTTCCGTATTGCATGCTCATATGATACAGTGCAAACATGAAGTTCGAAAAGTTAAAATGCACGTGTTTTCTGCATAGCACTGATGTTGGCTCATGCGCGGTTTACACGCAGCGACGTCACCTTCGTATGATCTCACCCCCTTTTTTTAGTTTTTTAGTTTCATTAAACAAGTTGTTAGATGCGCATCTACTATGACATCCACGTTTTCCGTGTTTTCTACTTTGCAGCTCTGCTTTCAGCATTCAATATGTTCCACCTAGTTCCAGGCTAGCTCCCCTGAAAAATACAACAGGAAGAAAATTTCATGTCAGTAAGTAATCTACTGCCGTCCCGAACCTTCTCGGGTAGTGTGGGCGTGGTTTGCCCTGAGAATTATTGACAGTAAAACGGGGCGATAACAAAACATGAGGAGAGAATGTGACATTGCCCCCTTTGAAGAAGGCATCATCCCGATGCTTTAACAAAAGATGAAAGTACAATAATAATAAAAAAAAACAATAAGTACAAGCAATAAATCACAAAACAAGTAAGTAAACATTGCTGTTTAGTTAAAGCTGTTATCGTATATTGACAATGAATTTACATTGCTTTGAAGTAATAGTGAGTTTGCGACGCTTTGTTGCTATGTACTTGTAATAGATTTTCGTCCCAGTTTTTTTTTTCGCATAGAACGACTGAAATCGCCGTAGTAAAGAAGGAGAAAGCGGTGGAAGAGCAAATAGGTGAGACTATAGGACACAGCAGGAAACAAGTCGAGATCGGCTTAAAAGATAGGTTTATGCAATAAAGAATTCGTCATGAATAACGATATTGAAGCTTTTTTGATTTACAAAAAATGACACAGAAAAATTCACCTGGTTCAATGCCGAGATAAACTGTCGGACAAGCGCAGCTGTAATGATGATGAGCCCTGTCAGCACAAAAAGTAATCGCCATTAGCATCATAATTTTGAGCATTATCATAGTGATCATTTTGTTTTGTTTACTTGAACAAAA